AAGGTGCATCTAATAAAGAGTTCATATCTTTTAAGGATTTTGTATTTCCTCTTGAAATCACTCATTCCACCTCACGCCATCTCGTCAGTCAGACGAAGGATTTTAAAAAATAGATTGTATTCATGGCTCTACCTAAAATTAAAACGTCAGACATCACATACACTGTCCACTTTTCACCCTCGACAACGATTGATGCATTTAAAGTTGCATTGATCGATTTGCTTGTACATACAGCTGCTGCTTTTGTTTGATTTGCAGCTACAAGTATTGCACAACTAATAAATTTGGTCTCTACTTCACTGAACTTGAATTTATTTCGTGCTAGTTAAGGTGAGGAGCATCCTGTCTCTGTGAGTAATTAAACAAATGATGGGGTTGCAAAGGACTTAGGCGCACCATTGTACGATTCTTCCCCCTAACATACATCTACTTTCAGATATAACCAGCTACATTCTAACGCGCGCTCTGATTGGCTAATATCTAATAAAAAAGATATGGACGGTTCTAAGAAGATTGTTGAGGCTAACGTCATTATCGGTGAAACTTTTGCCAGAAAAAAATTCTTTCACAACTTTTTTTTTCGGGTTACACTTAAATTTAGCTATTATAAGGGCTAGTAATAACCCAACATTTGATTTAGGGTCTCTCAGGGACTTTGAGGATGTAGAAAACGTGTCTGAAATGGTTGCAGAAACATCTGAAGCGTCTAAAGATCAACAAAGCGAAAGTGCTACTAGCGAAAGCAGCTGCTTCGCAAGTTTATCCGAGCGGGATTTGGAAAAAATACTTGAAGATAAACAATCAAACAAGACCAAGAAAGACACTAACTGGTGTGTTTCTACGTTCAAGGGTGAGTTTCAAGCTGAAATAGTTATACTTTTTCTTTACATGATTAAAAATAAACATATGAAATGTTAAATTTTTTTTCTATATCGAATGTGGAAGGTAAATGTCCACCATGTCAATCAATGTAATTGATAGGTTGAGCAGCTGAATAACCATTAAGTTAAAAAATTTACTTTATTTTGGTATTACGCGGACATATGGTGGAAATTTCAAGTGAAGAAAATATCTTGCTTACACTTGGATGGCGATTTCTTATCATAAAGTTCCGATCAAGTGTTGCGGCACACCAGATTCTTTTTTTTTTTTTTTTTTTGTACAATTTCTCACGGTTCAAAGCTTTTGGGGGGTTTTCAAAATTCCCTGACGATTTTTTTTAGTTATCAATACTTTTTATTGTTATTGTTGTTCTACTTCTTTTTTTTATTCTTTAGGAGCGGCCGCCTCGCTTGTCGATATTTTCATCTTTGATAGGAGGTGCCAAGCGGGAAGCCATTTTGTTTCCCTTGAGCTGTTCTCCCAATGCACTGTGAGCTTGTCAACCAGCGCTCTCGAAGGGCACTTGTCGAATATTTCTCATAACCTATTATGGCAATCTTGTTTTGCTTTTTTGTGTTGTTTTCTTTATTTCCCTCTTTCTTTAGATTCATACTTGTACCGTAACAGTAGTTAGGAAAAGTTCAGTTAAAAACCCTTCAAACAACTGAAAGAAATCTGAGGCTGAGTTTCATCAGAGAATATTAATGATTATCACAATTACGCCATTCAAAACTCATTGGAGAGATTTTGCAAAATATTTATGTGGGAAAAAAAATCTTCCCAATCTGACCGCCAAAACGTTTTCCAATAGTGAGTATTCTCCATATTCCACTGTCTAGAGAACACTTAAAGGGTACATTCATGATCTACGAAAAGCTTAATGTGGTAGCTAGCCTAAATAGAAGCCTAATTAGCAAGTTCGTTCTTTTTTTATATGCTTAGGATGTGCAGTGGACGAAACAATGTTACTTAATATGGGAATTTTCCACGTTTCCTTCGCCAAAAAGGGAAGGAAACGAGGTGGGTCACGAATTAGTTGATAAGCCACCAGGAACCCGATATCAATATCGGGGTTATCGCTTACGAAACTCGAGAGGATGTGAAAGAAGAAAAAAGAGTTCTCCGCTCAATAAAGAAGCAAAAAAAGGCGTTGGAAAGTTATGAGAAAACGTTTTAAATTTCACTCTGTCAGTGAAAATTCATTAATAGCGGAACTCAGGGAATGTCGCGAGATGATTATGATCTCAGATCTGCGCTGCTAAATTACAGGATGTCCTGATAACTAATCATCTAGAGAATCTCAATTTTATTTCTCGGGAAAAAAAAGCACGATAATTATGCTGTTATGGAGTACCAAGTCTCTTATTGGTCAGCTTAGGTAAAAACTTTAATTGGAAACGTTTTGGGGCTCTGCGTAGTAGAATAATGACCTATTTTATGCAGATTCATGTTAGGAGTAGTCAGTAATATAATTTCTTTCAAAATGAAATTTATAGCTGAGGTGATGGTGTCATTTTATCCTTATTTGTTTTTCTGTTTTTATCTTCATATTTGTGCTTATCAACAGTAGCTCAGCGATAGGAAGTTGTACCACCGTACCCCCTAATCTACCTGCCAGATATGATGAATTGATGTAAGTTTGAAAATCCTTGAAAGGCTGAGACCCACTTTTACTTTATGACCCACCATTTCGAAATGGATAATGATACCTCTACTGTAACCAAACTGGTGTCACAGAGTTGCAAACTCGTATTGATTCCATAGGGATATTACTAAATAAGTCATGTTCAGGACCTTTTCGGAAACAGGCATCCGGTTATGGGGCTAAGATGTCATTCCCTTTGTTGTGTTGCATGATTTCGATCCATTTTGTGTGTTACTGCCTTAAGTTGTCCGTCTGCCGTCAGTGGCATATGTTCAGACTTCGCGAGTTATTTAACAGAGCAGCACCTTGGTTGAGAAGGAAATTTTGAAACGGCCCTCAATGATTCTGAGATTTAGTGGCATAAAGCTATGAAATTAATGTTTTGTTATTTTGATCTAGACATTTGACATTTCATTATAGAGAAGATTGCCTTCTATATCACTGATGAACTTACAGGAGACCTTTGTAAATTGAATTAAGATAAAAAGCCATCTGTTTGGTGTGTGTTTAGCTCAATATGTTCAGTTGCGTGCATATCCAGGGCTAAACACAGAAGTTTCCGCGAAACTGCCCGTGTAGTTGCCGTGTTATCTCATTTCGTTCTCTGTTTTGTTCGAAAAAAGTACTTTGAAATAATGGTGTATTGTTTAATTATTTAACTGACTCCCAAATAGCACGAATAAACAAGAACAGATAACGAAGGTTCTAATATATTTGGCCATTATTCCAACGCAAACGTTTACCAAACAACAATTCGTAATGTTAGCATATACGATTCTTTTATTTTCGTCAAATTTGGTCGATTTCTTGCGATAAATTATGGGACATAGTTGGACTTCGTTCATAAAGTCAACATGAAGCATGCTACATATAGCATTGCAGTCAGGCATGCAGATTTACCTTACAAGCGTGCCTCAGATGCTGCCAAGTCATTTGCTTAATGTACCTTTACATGAGGCGATTTCAATGATTGCTAAGCAAAAGGAATAAAATTTGGTCGCAGCCTACGTGTTGATTGGTTCTGATACTTTATAAGGAGAAAAAAACAAAAAATATTTTGTCTATTGCCTATAACGAGTTGACAGATTCTTAGAGAGATCTTCAATAGATCATCTAGCAGAAAAAAAAAGCCACGCTAACAATTTTAAAGTTGACTTTCCTCCGAAAAATATTGTGCTTACATTTATCAGCCATCCACAAACAATAACAACAACGAACGCGTGCGTGGTCCAGTGTAAAATAACAGGGACTTTGACTATCAAGGGACTCTAAACTTCAGATTCAGGATTTTTGTCCTCTTTTTCTTTTTTCTCAATGCAACAAGTTTATTTTGTCGTGCGTTTAGCTATTGCTGTCACAAAATTTGAACTTAGAGAGAGTCTTACTCAAGGTGGCTTCTTATGCGTTCTTGGAATATCTCTTGTTTCTATCTCTAATTTCTTGTCTCTGTGGTGTCTTTAAACATATTTACCATCGAAGATGTAATCGTTTTGAATTAACTAAGAAGCTACTGCTACGACTTTCCTCCTTTGCTGAAGAAATTGGAAAGAGGGGAAAAGATGAAGAATATCTCACTTAAAAAAAGTAAAAAAATTATACGTTCTTTGTGATAAATTCTGAAGTGCCATTATACTTTTCTCTGAAATAACGAGCACGATTTAAAATTCAGAGTGCATTTTGCATTCATGAAAAAAATTAAGACGGTCAACTCAAATCATTAAAGCGTTGATGATGTAAAATCTACCATATAGAATTAAAAAACCCTTGACGTAAAAACATCTCTGAGTTTTTGTAGGCTTGAAATTACATTTTATTGGGTAAACCAACAGACGACGAACATGTAAAATCAACCAGTACAGAGTGTTTTGTCTTGTGTTGTTTTCTGCGGTTGCTTTTAATGTTCGGTGGTTTTTGGACTTTCAGCTGTCATATTGGAGACTGTTCCATAATATCCTTGATGATTTGCCATCCCACGGTTCGCGAGGAAGTACTTTTTAAATGTTATATCAATGTTGCTAGGGAAACTTTATCATGACATCTGTTATCAGTATAGAGGATGCTAAGAAGACGTCGTTGAAGGGGTTGTGTTTAAGATCTTAATAGACCTAAGATCAACACTTCCATTCTAAAGAGTAAAAGGGACATTTGGCAGCGCTTGAGAATCGATATTTCTTTTCTCTTATATCAGTGACAAGTCTAATAATGCGCCAGAAAACATTAGCATTTACCAACTTCAAGTATTCCTATGCTGCGCATAAAACAGACTATACACCAAAAAAAAGAAGTGGTGAAAAAACGGTTTGCGAAGCATTAACATAAATTAATCGTTAGGAAGACCAAATAACCTCTAGAATGATCGCATTTCTAATTATCTGCTCTGAAACATTAAGACGTTTGATTAATATGGAAATGTAATTAAGCGATTGAGCAAACGTGTTGAATTTATGCAAAAACTATTCAAAGAAGGATACCATTTGTTGGGTAGCCACAGAGAGAGATTGAACGTGACTTCTCTGCGCTTAAAGGAGCCACGATTGCTAAGTTGAAAATTTGAGGTATGTTTTGTAATTTTTTTCTTAAATTAAATTTTTTCTTCCATTTTAAGCAAAAGAAAATATCAAATATTCAATAAGGCTACGCTTTAATTTACGGCAAAGAAGACTGATAACAGAAGGCAAATCATGCGTCAATTTGAACCTTCAAAGAGTAGATAACTAAAGATTTGCCGTGTTTTAAGGTCTTAAAATATCGAAAGAAGCGAATTGCATCGATGAGGAAAATTTGTCCAAAAGGCCTTAATTTAAGGCGTGTTACCTTTTAAGCTGGACGGATAAACCTTTGCCGGCCGTCAGTAAAAGCGATAAAAGCAGAACGATCTTTTTAACTTGCTTCATGTATATACCAGTTGAATTTGTAATAGATAATGGGAAATGATATAGAAATACGAATTCTTAACCGCTAAGCCGAATAAATTAGCTTACTTAAAGCGACGTTAAAGAATCAAGTAATGTGCTTTATGATCGAACAGAATATGGCGCATGAACAAGGATATGCATGTGATAGCTTCCACGACTGACACAGCGTAGTCAAGCTGATAAATTTACGGGAAAACAATTTCCTTTGTTTGTTTGTTTTCTTTTTTTCAAAACACGAACTGGTTCAGTAATGAACCAAGGTAAAACATTTTTCACCGTTCATTTTTCCCTTCGTATTTATGCCATAATTGTTTTAGCATTAGTTATGGACTTTTCACACGTTACAAAGATCATGCAGAAACACATGATTCTAGTGAAACGGTTCCAGTTTAAATTGAACGCTTATAGAAACCCTCTATGTATTCTCTTTGGCCGATTAATAATTTATAAAACATCGGTAACCTCACAACACACTTGTCTTAAATTAATAGCATGCGAAATTAGTTTTCTTCTGGCTTGAAAATTATACACTTTTAGACTAGGATTCCATACTTTTGGCTTCTTCGAGAAGAAACAAATTAAAACGGCAATCTTGCGAAACTTGAAAGCTGTTGCATTTTTGTTTACAAATGGTGCTTGAATTGCGTGGTCACAGTACCTCGTGACATTACCTGATGACGTTTGAAGTTTAGACGTGAAACCCCGCGGTTCTAACCGATTCTTTGTCTCCAAGGTCAGTCTTTGTGAATAAATTGTTAATTTAAAGGAATTCGTGACTCGATCAATGTATATGTTAAGTTAAAAAAGCAAAAAAAAAAAACCAATAAACAAACAAACAACAACGAAAAAATATATATTTACATATATATATATATATATATATATATATATATATATATTATAAAAAAAGAGAGATGTGGCAGAGAAATTTATCAAGCTTAATAGATATTGTAATCTTTTAAGAATGTGGTTCTTCGTATATCAAGCACCATGATCATCCCCATTCCAACCCCTTTCCCGAGACAATTTTGGGGTTGTATAGATATTTTTATGTTTAAGAATAAAGTACGACTGTCTTTTGCTCAGATTCTGTCGAGATCAACGTCTGCAGCTAAACTGAAAGAAAAATGAACAACACTTCTACTACGGATCAGTTTCTTCCTCAGTCTAACCCTGGAATGACAACAGTGAAGAGACTTCTTCCAATTTCAATAGCCATTATTTTCTCCAACGGACTAGTGTTCGCCTTGTTTTGCAAACGAAAAAGTCTTCGAACGTCATCCAATTACTTGCTGCTTGGTTTGGCAATTTGCGATTTCTTAACAGGCGCTGTAAACATTCCATACTTCATAGTTTTTAGTTTCCAAGTTGTTCCACTTAACATGCAAAAGAACTACAATTACTGGTTGGTCATCATACATAACTTTATGGCTGTAACGGCCGCTTACCACCTCCTCGTTATCACCGCGGAAAAATTTTTGGCCATCACCAAACCACTAAAACATTACCTTGTAACTAAAAAAACGGTTTTAAAATCATTAGCTGCTATCTGGATCTCGTCAACGGTCATAGCCAGCATCCCATTAGCTTGGAAAAACAGTCAAATGCAATTGCTGTTTTCGGTCATCTATTTTTCGGTGTGCCTTGTTTTCGTGTTTGTTATTCCATATGCGTTCATGATTTATGCCTTTGTAGTCATGTTCAAGGCGATCACCAGCAAAAGAAGACCATCTTCCATTCCCAGAAGGGTTGCATCAGGACTGACATGGGGGATCGTCAACGATAGAAAGTGTATTTTAATTTTCGCACTGATGGCAGCAATATATGTGATTTGTTGGTTGCCATATTTTACCATCGGGCTGGTTATCGGTATCAAAAATTATCTCTGCATGGAGTTGACGCAACCGGTTAATAAAGCCACTGAAATTATTGTCCTCGTTCGATACATAACTTCCTTTACTAACCCACTCCTCTACACGTTTTTCAAGCGCGACTTCTGGCGGACCTTACGAAAAATTTCCCATAAGAAAGAGTTTATTCATGGTAGGAGTAAGTCCTCGAAACAAAGAGAATGGTTCCTGCGAAAGAAATCTGTTGAAAACAGTACCACGTTATCTCGGCTTTCTTGGATTACGGCAGAGGCTAAAGACGCAAGTAACGTGAAAGGAAGCATCTCAGAAGAACAAATACTCTTCGTGTCTTCTGTTTGAAAGCATTAGCATTCTCTTGATAGCTAGAAAGTGGGATCTGATGAAGTTTGTTGGTATAATTAAACGGAATTAGTGTTCGTATCGCTGGTGCTCGCACTTAATATTCTTCTCTTTTTTTAATTTGTTACTATCGTTATCATTCTAGTTCTGATGGTAAATCTACGGGAGAAAGACTAATTTCTCAGGACTCTTAATGATCCACTGTCAGTGTTTTTTTGGTAGCGTAATATGATAATCTGAATAGAATGTTAAGGAACCGAATTGATGAGTTATGAGCCAAAATAGTTGACAATTTTATAAATAATGTAACTTGATAATACTCTAAACGAAACCGCGAATTATCCGTTAACGAGATGAGGGAAAAACAGCAAGCGCCTTCTAAAATAAAAATAACGGAGCTTTAGTTCGGGAGGCAGGGTAGCGGAGCCACAGGCATACCTGAGATATATGGTTACCCACCAAGTCGATAGATAAGGTTATCACAACATCATCGTCGTTCTGTACACTTTCATGGATGTGTTTCGTTAAGTCATTTGATACGTACACAAACCGAAATAAACTTTATATTACACTAGATGAATACAAGTTTTGGAATTCTATCGAAAGGCAGTCTATGAGATATCCCGCGAATAGGTTGCTTTTATCTGTGTCTAAAAGGAGCCGAGGCGATCGTGTTGCCTGACAAAAAAAAGGAGGAAAAAGTAGAGTGTACACGGTTAGACGCCTGAAAGCCTGGCAGGGCTAACTTCCTCCATGGCGTTGCAAAACTGATACATGGTAAAGCTTCTTGTAATCATTTGGGTTCGGTTTTAAACTAAGGGATTAACGTTTGGGAGGTTGAAGAACGAAACGAAGGGTGTAACGGATTATTGCGGACTTCTGCAGAAACCCACGAATTGAAAATAAAAAGTTTTAGTTCACATTTTGTACCTTTCATTTTCACATTTCCACACAAATCAATGATCCCATCCGCCCATCATAGAAAGAATTGGCTCTGCATTACACACAACAACAACAACAAAGATCGAGGCCACGCGAAACATGCCCCTTGAGAGACCTGGTACAAGGTCGGCCAATCCCAGCATTCATTTGGACGTGCTATTAGCAAAGTCGCGTAACAAACAACCATGACTTAAGAGCCAGAAGGAGCGCCGCTGCGGCGGCGCTGATTAATTTTTCGAATTATCGATGGGACGCCAAATCGTGAGGGCGACGCTAATTAATATGTTTCCTCAAAGAGCGGCGCCTAGTAGACGGCAGACAACTTTATAGAAAGTACTTTCTGTTTCTGCCTCAGCATAACATGCCCATGAATTCCTCTGAAATTGAACACGTTGAAACTTTACTTCCAGCTTAAGCCCTCGTTCTTTCCAAATTTGTAAACATTTATTTGCTTTGGAGACGAGCAACCGAGGGCTGCTTATGACAAGTCTCTTAGATGATTCATATTAAACGTGCACCTAATTTTTCTTTCAAGTATTTAGTGTCTCTATTGATCTGAAACTAGCCATCTAGTCTCATGACATGAATTTAGTTCGATTTCTCGTGTGAAATTTTATAGACTACATGGTGGTGGTACCTAAGAGGCGATTGAAAGTCAATGATCAGCTAAGTTTATTTTAAACTAAAGTAATCGATTTGCAGACATCCATAGCATTAAACGCATTTTTGTCGTCAAATTTGAAATTCAATTCATGAAACTTTATCTTAGACTAATTGAGGTGTCACAATTGTACATATCGTAATTTATCTTGACCCAAAATTCACGAATCCTGAAACCTCTAGCCTTTCTCGTTGAACACAGAACACCCTTCAGATCATCGGTTGAGAATCTAATTTTTTTCTTATTATTAATAAAATGCCTTATAAAAATTGTCCCCGTGATGCCTTTTTTTTAGTTTGGTGAAAATGGAACAATTCTCTGACATTTGTGAATTATATACATTTACATGCTTGTGATACGGCAAACTCGAATGCAGCATTATGCGGAATTATTTTCATTAAATGTAAAAAAGAGGTCTCAATAATTCGCGTTGGCCTTACAATTGGGCTTTAGAAGAAAAGTAAGTGAAAGTAAAATTTGCCTCCTTTCCGTAATGTAATTATAATGAAAGCATGCGTCGTTCTATTAGGCCTGTGAGCAAATGTATGTAAATTCCTAAAGTGAGGAATTAAAAGTGTGTTGGTACTTTTGATGAAAGTCTAGTTACATTATAAGTATCCAATTCCCGTTCGATAATGAACTGCGGGCAAAACGTGCACCTTCCTCGGAGGGCCGGGAAGCGTGGGCATAGTTTTGAACCCTTTTGGTCCTAATATGGGTATAGATAGTCCTGGATAGGATGTACTTTTTAGAGGAAACCACGTCTGTGTATGAACTTATTATTTCAACTTCGAGTGATTAACTAAGAAATGAAATTTAAGACAAAAATTCTTCTAGGAGGTGAATTTCTGCATCGGTCGATTTCACCAATTCTTGGCTTCGGAACTGATTCCAACCTTAATTTCAATACAGCGATAAAACTTTCTGGTTTCGCCAACGACATATAACATTCAGAAGCCAGACCTAAAGACGGTTAAAAATTTTTAGGGGCTATCTTTAAATGCCCGTGGGAAATTACCGGTTGGGTTTTAAAAAACCAGGTGGTACACCCCTTCCAAGAATTCCCAGGGATACCTTTTCCGAAAAAAAAAAACTCAACTGACGGTTTAGGGACCGTTTATTATTCATTGCTGGGGGCAGCGTTAAATAGTGGGCCGTTAATTGTTGTTAAGCTGCTAATTGGTAGTCAATCTTAGGCCCCTCCCCTTTTAA